GCTGGTTCAGTCTGTGCAGCCTGACGAGGCAGCTAGCCCAGAGGAAGAGTTATTTACTGCCTAAGAAGGCAGCCCTGTTTCCCAGTCCCTGCCCCTCTGCCACAGGCTCTCACCAGTTCTCTTGCACTGGGATTTGCATTTGTCATAAAACCTGCTGAAAGTTAATGCTACTCCACCCAAAGTAACGAGTTTTCTACCAGCGTAACTACATCATCTGGCTCAGGGTCAGACAAGCACTGCCACCACTGTGATGGAAGAACTGGCAGACCTGAGAAGGGTGGTGGTGGCAGATCCAACCATGGGCATGGTCATGCCAGGGTTTGTAAAATGCTGCCTAACAGCTGCTGTGCTTCATGGGAAGGTCGTTAAATTCAGATATTCACAATGTTAAATAAAGGCAAAATGTTTTAACTACGTGATGAGATGGTGGTTTTCTTGTGCAAAGACATTTTAAGCCTGCTTTTACAATCTGAAAATTATATAAAATTTTAAAACCAAAGCTTCTCCCCCATTCTTTAAAAACTCATTTGTCTGTGATGAGAATAGCAATGTGGGTCTGTTGCTACCTACTTGTTTTGTTAACCAGTGAACACACTTCCAAAGGAAATGGTAAAACAGAAACATTTTCATTTCATACTGGGGAAAAAAACAACCTCAAATACACTTTCATGTCATTTGCCTAAATCTTGTTTGGACAGCTTGCACGGCTCACAATCTTGCTGTTATCACTACCTCCTCTAAATTAGCGCGAGAGCAGGAAGATAAATGTAATACTGCAATATACAGCTCGATACCGAAGCAGATCACTCTGCTGTGACATGCCTCACACTTCAGCTCTAACACAATGATATGGTTATCTAAGGTTTGAGGCGACTGAACAGCCTGTAATGTATTAGCACACTTTTCATTTTGGAGATATTGTCAGGAGCTGAAAAACAACTCTGATTCACCATGCCGCTTTGGTTATTTCCCCTCCAATATCAGGTGTTTTCTCCCCTCTGATCCCCACACCAGATTTGTGGGAGCAGTGACACACTTGCCCTGCGCAGGCAGAGCAATGTGAACAGGAACCAAGCGCTGGGGTTAACATCTAGTCAGAAAAGCCCATAAGGGCACTTTTTCTGCAGGTTCAAATATTAACATTATAAAAGATAACTTGCAGCAACTCCTATTTTTAAGTTTCTCAAAGGAGCTCTGAGATAATTTTAAGAAACCCACTGCCTGTAAGACATTTGACATCCAGAAAGGAGAACAATCTCTGGTTGCAGAAGCACTTTTTCTTTCCTCCAAGCCTGCATTTAAAGTGTCACTGGCACAGCGAGGACAGCGAGAGACGCAGAGCTTGGGATTTCATTTCGGGTTGGTTTGGGTTTTTTTTCACCTGACCCAGCTACAAGCCTGGCGCCTGGCTACAGCTTCAGCTTCCCCTGAAACCAGCCGTGCTTTTGCTTGTGTGGCTGACTGCTGAATTGGCAAAAGCTACCTTTGAAAAACCACTTTTGCCAGAACACCTTTTTATGTTTGCATTAAAGAGGCAAAAATGTAGATAAAGCTTTTGCCAACGATATCTTGGTCTATTGGAACAGACGTTACAAAGTGATAAAATAAACTACCATTTCCTCAGTGTTTTAGCTCTTTGGTGCAAGAGCAGAATTTGCTCCTTACAACAGAACTCAACGGATAAGCGTGAGGAGAAAAGCAGCGATGCCTGTTCCAGCTCCTCTATAAGGCACAGGATGTGCTGAACTATAAAAAAAGTAGGGAAAAAAGAGAAGTGGAAAAGACATTTCTACAAGGATTGAAAGCATTCCTGGAAAGAAGAGGGGCAATTAACACATACATGGAAAAGCTCCTCAGTTAGGATGACATTTCTAACTTCTTTCTTTTTGCATTTGTATCTTTACAGGAAGTATTAAAAAAAGGAAAGACCTGGAAAGATTAAAACCCACATGTAGCTGTTCCCTCCCACTTAGCACGCTTGTTAATGCCACTGGTCTTGCTGAAGTGAAAAGACAAATAGAAGAAAGAAAAGGTGATGGGGAGTGCACACACTTCATTACAAACCAGTACTTGATGTTTCTGTTAGTTACAGAAAAGTTTTAGGACATCAGTGACCAATGCAACTCCCTAATCCTTGGCCAGCTGCAGAAACCCTTCCCATAAGGCCAAGATCAGGGCAAGGTTAGTGCCATAATAAAAGAAGGAATACAGAATCTCTAATGATTGCTTCTGGCTATTTTTCTCCTTACCTCTAAGAATGTCACAGTGAGCATTTGCTTTCTTAAAGTGGTGCAGAGCTCTTTGCTTTACCTACAGATGGACTCACACTTCCCATTCCGGGGCACAGCCAAGGACCTGATGGTGGATCTGTGAGATGGATGTTTCACTCTGAAGATCACAAATTTATGGGTCTCTTCACAGGATGTTCAGTGAAGGTGGAAGAATCCTGTTAGTGTGCAATTGCTTAGTACCTTAGATAACCTACTATTTATTTTAATGTTACCCACCTGAGGGAGGCTCTGCTAATGAATCTATTTTTGTAGTACCATAAAGGTTGAAGTTTAGAGCTAAGTTTAGAGCAGAGCCATATAAAAAATGTCAAACCAGGAAATAGCTTAATGAAGGCAGAGAGTAATCACAGCAAATTATAGAGAAATTTCTATGGGATTACATTTTGCATTCCCCAAACAAGCAGAGGAATTAATCTCACTTAGTGTTGTTCCATTTTGCTGAGAATTCACTGTAAGGATATGCTATCTAAGTAAGATAATGCAAAGCCATAAAAGCTGTCTTAAAAGTTACAGTCTAAGATGCTTTTAAAAGAGTTCAGATTTCTTCCCACTGCAGTCCATGGAAAACTAGCAAGATATGCCATAAAATATCACAGAGAAAAAGATTAATGGTAATATTAGGAGGAATACAAGGCACATATTTCATTTTGTGGCTACTAATAATAAGAACCCTTTCTAAACTCCAACACTTAGAAACCAACCAGCAGTAGATGTGGTAAGGAAGTTCAACCCAGGAGAAGAAAGCTGGTATTCCTGGTGTGCTTCCAAAAATCACTTGCAGAATTTAATCTCTCCCCACTGGCAAACCCAGGTTTTGCACAAGGAGCATCTAGGAAATACTCCTCAGTCAGCACCTCTACTAGCTGCCTTGAACAACTCCTCTGAAGCAGTATATATACAGTTTGCATATATGTACTCCCACCCTGCAGATTATTTTTCTTTCACCCAGGCTTTAGAGCCCACAGTCCAGTAACAAATTAGAAGGAATTTCACATCGCTTTTTACCATATGTAGTGATTTTCTCTACTTTTCAACAGGTTTCCAAGCTGAGAAGAAGATGGGAACTCTTGATCTCACTCCATTACTATGGCACAGCTCTGGGTGGTTACTTGAGTGAAAAAAATATGTTGACTTTTGGGTAACAAAGTCACTGCAAATCTCTCAAGGCTAATTCTTGATGACAGCCATTGTAAATACACTGGAATGTGCACAGAGCCACAGCCTGGTCCTATTAAAGGCAACATGAG